TTATACTCCGATATTTTAGTCTCATATTGAGACCTATTTTTGGCATAGAAAGTGATCGAATTGGAGAATGATGTCTGAATCAAAGTTGTAGCCAGATGAGTTAGCTTTCCAACGCATTTTGAATCGCCTCAATCAGATATCGGAATACAAAGTTATGATAAAAACACTGAACGAAGGTGTAGCTGTCTGTTTAAAAAAAAAATTTTGTTATATAGTCCGTTAAAACAACAAATTTCGTTAGTTTTTCCGTTAAAAATAAGAAATTCCGTTACATAGCTACTTTTATTATATAGAAGATACTCAGCCTTGACGACCCCGACAATGTCTTCTCCAACTGGAACCCACTTGATGTCGTGCCTTGCAACTAGTATGTAGTCACCTGCGACTGGACCAATAGCTCTGTCTACTCGCTTGATCTCTCCAGCTCCAACCTCTTTGGCCCCTTTCCTTTTAGTCTCTGTTGGTTGAAGAACATGACTTTTGTTTCTCTCTACGACAATTTCATCAACTCCACTCTTTCCGATGTGGACATTGCCACGTATCAGTCATTGGAGCACCTAGATTTGGCGTAGAACTATTTAACCGGTGAACTCCATGACGCTCTAGCTGACCTCCCAAACTTAGAGTATCTGGATTTGGCCGGAAACAACTTTTTCGGTGAAATTCCGGTAAGTTTTAGGAAGTTTCAGAATCTTGAGGTTCTTTCATTAGTGGAGAATTTGTTGGGATGTACGATTTCCCCAATTTTGGGGAACATTTCCACCCTGAAACAGTTGAGTATCTCATACAACAAGTTTTCACCAAGCCGTTGTGGATTTTGGATTTGAGGTGGAGGTGAAGGTGAAGGTAGGGACAGGGGTTGGTGTGGATTTTGGGTTTGAGGTGCGGGTGGGAAGGGCTGAGAGGAAGATGACGATTATGTGTGTGTGTGTGTGTGTGTGGGTGTCATTTATTTATTTGTTTAATGTTATAAATGGAAAATTACTCTTTTGCCCCTTTTAAAATATTAAAAATGTGGTTAAAGTCAAATTTTTGGTCAACTGGCATGATTATGGATTGACACTGTCCAAAAGGGCTTCACCTACAACGTTTGAAAATGTTAGGGGTGACGGCTGCAACAAATCAAAGATTTGGAGAAAGTTTGCTAATGTTTCAAATGTTTGGAGCTTTTGCTACAATTATTCC